CTGTGAAGAAATTCCAATGATCCGCTCGCCTCGGCCTCCCAAAGTGTTGGGATTACAGGCGTGAGCCACCACACCCGGCCATAATACAGTTTATTTTAAACAGTGGATCAAACACATAAGTCATTTAATTTCTGGAGTCTATTTGTTTTAGGGTTTTCTTCCATCATTAAATATTGTGCTGACCTGGTTGGTAACTTGGTAGCAATACTATGGCAAGGACTAAATTTACACCAAAGATAAAGTGCTGATTATATCAGGTATATTTTAAAATACAACAGATAAGATGTATTCTAAAGCTGTCAAAGAATGTTGGCTACAGAAAAAGTGACATTTGAGCTGGAATCTGAAGGATATATGAATCATTCACCAAATCGGGGGAAGATTGGGAATGGCATTGAAGATGTGGAAGCCTGACTAAAGAATTTGAACTTTACCTCACTGGACAACGCAAATCTACCAATGAGGTAGGTTTTATATCATTTTTCTGCAGAAAAGTAATATAACATGCCTTTTAAAACTGATCTTGGCCAATATAAAAGGATACAGTGCAGAAGCATGAGGCAATTAAAACTGGGAGGCTGCATTTAAAAGTAGTTATGAACAGCGGGGTAGGAACGAGAGGACAAATGTGAGCAACATTTTAGGAGGTAGAACCAAGATAATTTACCATTCATGTCAATGGGAGGGAGTCAAGGAAGGCTTCAACTTGAAAGACTTATCATGAAAGGTGACAGAATATAAAGAATGACATTTAATTTCATCTCCTATCTCTGACACACAACTTGCAACTCCACCAAGCCAGGCTTTTTGCACTTGCTGTTCCATCTACCTGTGCTGCCTAGGGAGTCTGGCAAGCTCATGCTTCCCAAACAGCCGTTTCTTCAGAAGGCCTGCCCTGATTACAACCAGAAAAGGGGCCTAGCCCCTGTGCTCCAGCACCCCGCAGCGCAGCGCTCTAATAAAAACAGGCTTCAAGGCAGTTTACACATCTGTCTCTCTCTCGACAGCCGGCATTCAGCCTACCCTGCACTACTGTCTCCCTAGTGCTTGGCACCCAAGGGGCGTTCCATAAATGTTAAGTGGCTGGCTGTGGACGAAGGGGCTCAGACCGCGCGAGTTCTTACCATTACTAAAATTCCCTCTAACGGGAAAAACCGCCGTCCAGAGTGTTGGAAGACTGCGGACCCCACGTCCGTGACCCTGGTGCACCCGAAACTCCCGAGCTGGCCCTCCCCGCCGAACCCCGCGAACGAGCACAAACGCTGGGCCGGCCGGCTCCGGGGTCAGTCCCCCGGCCTAGCTCCAGCCCGGCTCTCAGGCTCGCAGCATTACCTAGACAGGACCTCCAAATCCTCAAGCGCAGACAGCAGCCGCTCTCGTGTGCTGTTACCACTTGCCACTCCCAAGCCGCCTCCCAGCCTCTCTTTCTCCTTCTCACCACTCGAAGACGCAGCCATTTTCCTCACAGCCCCGCCACCGGCGCACGCGCTGAGCGCGCTGACGCAGGGGCGTGGCGAGGAGGCGGGCTCGGAAGGCGGAAGAGTCATCCAGGAGAGGAAGAAGAGGCCCGGCGAGAGCGCCCCCTTTGCGCCTGGAGGGGCGCACTGCGGGCACCGGCGCCATCTGCTGGGCCAGCGAGGGCTTTTGGGTCCAAACCCTGGGAGCGAGGGCTGAACTGAGAACAGGGAGTGCAATGCAGTCTGATTCTCCTGGGCCTAATGTTTTGTTTCCTTCCTTCCTTCCTTCCTTCCTTCCTTCCTTCCTTCCTTCCTCCCTTCCTCCCTTCCTCCCTTCCTCCCTTCCTCCCTTCCTCCCTTCCTCCCTCCCTTCCTCCCTCCCTCTTTTTTTGAGACGAGTCTCACTCTGTTGCCCAGACTGGAGTGCATTGTCGCAATCTCGGCTGACTACAACCTCCGCCTCTTGGGTTCAAGATATTCTCCTGCCTCAGTCTACCGAATAGCTAGGATTACAGGCGTGTGCCACCTCGCCCAGCTAATTTTTGTATTTTTAGTACAGACAGGGTTTTGCTATGTTGGCCAGGCTGGTCTCGAACTCCTGACTTCAATAGATCTGCCCACCTCAGCCTCCCAAAGTGCTGAGATTATAGACGTGAGCCACCGTGCCCGGCCCTGGGCATGATGTTTTTCAAGCAGCGATGAGAAGCTTCTATGAAGTGGTTTTTAAGACTTTGAGGGAATCACATAATGGTCTACATTATTATAAAAGACGGTCGGGGACTGCCTGACTCCCATGAGGCAGTCGTACCTGTGGTCCTTTCATTTCATGGTCTCATCCTCTGCTCTGTCTTTTTGGAGGTGCTAAACTTGACTCCTGGGCACCTAGAGTTGACAAGTCTTTCAGAAATTCGTGTTAAATAAATTCATTCATAGCGGCCCTGCGCGGTGGCTCAAGCCTGTAATCCCAGCACTTTGGGAGGCCGAGATGGGCGGATCACGAGGTCAGGAGATCGAGACTATCCTGGCTAACACGGTGAAACCCCGTCTCTACTAAAAAATACAAAAAACTAGCCGGGCAAGGTGGCAGGCGCCTGTAGTCCCAGCTACTCGGGAGGCTGAGGCAGGAGAATGGTGTAAATCCGGGAGGCGGAGCTTGCAGTGAGCTGAGATCCGGCCACTGCACTCCAGCCTGGGTGACAGAGCAAGACTCCATCTCAAAGATAAATAAATAAATAAATTAATTAATTAATTAATTCACTCATAGCAACGGCTGTGTAATCTAGAATGCTGATTTACTCACTTACGATGAAAAGTAATAGTGCTAAACATATCTTTTACCCATAGACAAAACTATAGGAGAAGCCATATTATCACAGGATGTTGCTTCTTAAACTTGGATCAGAACAAACGAGGATAGATTAAAAATGAATGACACCATCATGAGGCTTTGTATCTCCACAGTGTAGGGATATTTGTATTCAAGAGATTGGATTATTTGTGTTCATAGGTCGGGGTACCTTCTCCTCCAGACAGTGCAAGAAATCCTTGTCACCTTTTGTTTTCTGACCATTCCCTGCATCTGCTGTTGGCTAACCCTTTTTTGTTAATGCAGTCAATTCTCAGGCAATGGGTTAAAGTAGATTGAAGCTTTGTTCATTACACTTGCATTCTAAACATGCCTCTCAGTACTCTAGTCAATCATTTCTTATGTTAAGTTTCTAGGGTGCCAAACTTCTGTGGTATGTGTTGGTTTCATTTACTCAACTCTCACGGGTCATATTGAGCCATGACTCTGGTAGGAGGAGAGAGAACATTATATTAGTGTAAACACAAAAATTCTAGAAGGATTCTAATCAGTTAAAAATGACCAATTATAGTCCTACTTTGCAGACACTGAGGATCAGTGTATGGAGCATATATGTGTATTGTGAACTCCTGACCTCCTCAGATTTATTGCAAATTCGTATGCATATTAAACAGTATAGACTGATAAGTAACAGCATCTTTCACAGATATACTGTCTTACAAATTGTACGAATCCAAGCATGATAAACAAATATGAATTATTTTATATAGTATTACTGAATTCATGGTAATTTGGAGTGTTAGGTACATATTTTCTCAATCTGTAGATTCACTAAGGACACTACTTTCTCATGAAATTTTATTTCTTTAACATGCTGGGCACTGCTCTAGGCACTTAAAAAATAATATCTTGTTTAATTTTCCTAATACTCCTATGAGGTAAGTACTGTACTTACTACTGATACAAAGCCTCACAAGTGTGTCATTAATTTTTAATCTATCCTTGTTTGTTCTGATCCAAGTTTAACAAGCAACATCCTGTGATAATATGGCTTCTTGTATAGTTTTGTCTACGGGAAAAAGATATGTTTAGCACTATTACTTTTCATTGTAAGTGAGTTACAGATAATGTTACAGATAATGAAACTGAGGGGCAGAGATGTTAAGACACATGCTGGGGTCATATAGTAAATGGTAAAGCTGGAATCTGAACCCAGAGTCTGGCTCCAGGGGCTGTGCTCTTTACCACTGGTTATCCCCACTCTCTGTAAAGAAAGAAGGCTCTTCATGTACTAAAAGTACTGGGAAACTCTGACCTAAAATATGAGAGGACTTCAAAAAGTTCATGGAAAAATGGAATTAAAAGATAATAATTTAAAATATAAACTTTATTTCTCAACATGAGCTCCATTTAGTTCAAGACACTTTTGTAAATGATGATACCAGCCATTTAGTTCATACCTAAAGAACTGAGCGTCCTCGGAATTTAACCGTGCCAATGCTGTCTTTTTTACTTTTTTCTTTTTTTTTTTTTTGCCACAGGGTCTCACTCTGTCACTCAGGCTGGAGGGCAGTGGTGCAACCACAGCTCACTGCAGCCTTGACCTCCCAGGCTCAAGCAACCCTCCCAATACATTATTAGCTGAATAAAAATGGGTGCCCTTTACAAATTTTATTTATTTATTTATTTTTGAGACAGAGTCTTGCTCTGTTGTCTTGCTCAAGCTGGAGTGCAGTGGCATGATCTTGGTTCACTGCAACCTCCGCCTCCTGGGTTCAAGTGATTCTCCTGTCTCAGCCTCCTGAGTAGCTAGGATTACAGGCATGTGCCACCATGCCCGGCTAATTTTTGTATTTTTAGTAGAGATGGGGTTTTGCCATCATGGCCAGACTGGTCTCAAACTCCTGACCTCAAGTGATCCACCTGCTTTGGCCTCCCAAAGTGCTGGGATTACAGGCATGAAACACTGAGCCTGGCCTAGATTTTTTTAAGATTAGGAAATAAAAAGAAGTCAGGATCAGGACTGTAAGGTGGATGTTCAATGATTTCCCACTGAAACAATTCCAAAATTGTCCTTGTTTGATGAGAGGAATGAGCAGTAGTATTGTTATGGTGGAGAAGGACTCTCTGGTGAAGCTTTCTCGGATGTTTTTCTGCTAAAGCTTTTGCTAACTTTCTAAAAACACTCTCTTAACAAGCCATTGTTATTATTCTTTGGCTCTCCAGAAAGTCGCCAAACAAAATGCCTTGAGCATCCCCAAGACGGTTGCCTTGCTGTTTGATCTTGACTGGTCTGCTTTTGCTTTGACTGGACCACTTTCACCTCTTGGTAGCCATTGCTTTTATTTTGCTTTATCTTCAGGATTGTGCTGGTAAAGCCATTTTTCATCTCCTGTTACAGCTCTTCAAAGAAGTGCCTCGGGATCTTGATCTCACTTGTTTAAAATTTCCATTGAATGCCCTGCTTTTGTCTGCAGGTGATTTGGGCCTAACAGTTTTGGCACCCATTGATTGGAAAGTTTGCTCAACTTTAGTTTTTCAGTCAGAATTGTATAGGCTGAACAAATTGAGATGTCTATGGTGTTGTCTGTTAATTGCTGGTCCTCTGCAATTAGGGCACAAACAAGACAAATATTTTCCTTGCAAATTGATGTGGATGGTCTGCTGCTGCAGGCTTTATCTTCAACATCATCTCATCCCTTTTTCAAATGAGTTTTCTATTTGTAAAACTGCTGATTTCTTTAGGGCATTGTCCTCATAAACTTTTCATAAAGCATCAAGATTTCACCATTCTTTCACCCAAGCTTCACCATCAATTTGATATTCTTGCTTCGATTTTAGTAGAATTCATATTGCTCTGATACAGGCACTTGTCAGACTGATGTCTTATGCTTCTTGGGCCTCAAACTAGATCCTGTTCATACATGTTATAACAAGTTAGTGTGACTTTATTTTGGTGGAAAAATATTTTGAAACACATGTATAGTTTTTCTATAATGCACACTTTTCATGAGCTTTTTGAAGAACCCCTCATACAAACACTATCAAATAAATGCACAGCTTGAAATTCTGAGCAAAAAGCTGCTGCAAGCAGTTGGTGTGGAGGTTTGGAGGTACAGCAAGAAACTCAGCCAGGCCTGTCCCTGAGGGTCAGCAAAATAGATAGCTGAATACACCATGTATCTTTTTAAAAATTATTATTTTGTTATTTTATTATTATATTTTTGAGACAGAGTCTTGCTCTGTCACCTAGGCTGGAGTGCAGTGGTGCGATCTCAGCTCACTACAACCTCCGCTTCCCAGGTTCAAGCGACTCTCCTGCCTCAGCCACCCAAGTAGCTGGGATTACAGGATGCCTGGCTAATTTTTGTATTTTTAGTAGAGATGGGGTTTTGCCATATTGGTCAGGCTGGTCTCGAACTCCTGACCTCAGGTGATCCGCCCACCTCAGCCTCTCACAATGCTGGGGTTACAGGCATGAGCCACTGTGCTGGGCCTATTTTATTTTTTTAAGGCAGAGCCTTGCTATGTGAGCCACTTCACCCGGCCAATTTTTTATTTTCATCAAACAACATATATACATATTCTAAAATCAAATGGTACTCACAAGCTTCTAATGAAAACAAAAAAGTTCTAAGTTACCACCTCCTGAGCCCCACTTCCTAGCACATCCTTCTCACTAATGGTAGGCAAGCTCAGCATTTTTAACCGTTACGTCTATTTTTTGCTCACATATTTTAAAATAATATGCATATATTCTGTATCTCTATTCAACTGCTTTTGAAATTTATTTCCTATTATGATAGATGAGGATTTTATCTCTCTTACATGTGTCATTTATCTTCCCATTAGTTAGAACACTATTCTGACCAGGTGCGGTGGCTTATGCTGCAATCCCAGCACTTTTGAGAGGCCAACGGTGTCGGACACAGCCTGACCAACATGGTGAAACCCCATCTCTAGTAAAAAAGTAAAACAAAAAATTGACTGGACCTGGTGGCCCAAATGCCTGTAATCCCAGCTACTTAGGAGGCTGAGGCGGAGAATGGCTGGACCTGGGAGGTAGAGGTTGAGATGAGTCAGATTGCGCCATTGCCCTCCAGTCTGGGCAACAAGAGTGAAACTCAGTCTCAAAAAAAAAAAAAAAAACAAAGAATACAATTCTTTCGTTAACTCACTAGTTAGTGTTTACATTACTACACTATTATCTACAGTTAACTATGTAATTATTATTTGTTTGACATGCCTAACATATCCCTGTAGGGATTTTTTTTAATAGAAAAGAAGATATCTAAAATATCAAAGTGCATTGTGTATCCTGTGGAAACTGTTTTCACTTATATATCTGTGTATATGTGCACTGGGTCAAATGTAAAATGTGTTTTTTACTTTGTACTGAAAAAGTGTGAATGCTTTGGAGATGGAGTCTTCAAAGAGGTGATCAAGTTAAAAAGAGGTCATTAGGAGAGACCCTAATTCAACCTGATTGGTGTCCTTATAAGAAGAGGAAAAGATGCCAGGGACCTGGAGGCACAGAGAAAAGACCATGTGAGAATATGGCAAGAAGGCAGACACGGGCTAGCCAAGGAGAGAGGCCTTGGAAGACACTAGTCCTGTCGACACCTTAATCTTGGACTTTTGGCTTCCAGAATTGTGAGAAAATAAATTCTTGTTGCTTAAACCACTAAGTCTGTGACATTTTGTTACGATAGCCCTAGCAGACTGATAAAGAGGGGTTACATGTCAGTGGGCATCTGGAGATGTCTAATCATTGCCTTGCACATACCTTTGACTTCCTTGCCCCCATCTTAATTTGTTTTACTCCCTTGGCAAGGCCACGCACTGAGCTAAATGCAGCTCTGCCTACTACATGCCTATACCAATGCAACTGAATATAGATGGAGAAAAACACACAAGCCAGTCAGTTTGTTGTAACTGAAATTCATGACTTTAACCCCTAAATCTCCAGTGGGTCCTTAGTTCTTCTGGGTAATGAGACAATGCATCCTTCTTCTGACCCCTCTCCATTGTCCTTCATACAGTTTCACACCACTGCCTCTCTCTACCCCTCAACATCTCCTTTCGCTTCCTCTTTCTCAATTAAGGATCTTGCCTCACTTGATTCACTGAGAAAACAAAAACAAAAACAAAAACAAAATGAAACAAAAAAACCAAAAAAACCATATTCAAGGTCAAGGTTGAGATGGAAAGTCAGACTCAGGTATTTCTTTCCTGGCAGGCAGGCAGTGAGTGAAGGAAAACAGAACAACTGCATTAATTAACTCTTCTCTAAGAAACAAAAAGCGTTGAAACTCTACCTCAAGACATGAACCTCAGAGACTTTAATCCCAAGTAAAAATAACACTCAATTCAGGATCAAGCTCCAATATCAAGAACCACCATTTCTGGTTTCTGAAGACATAAATCACCTCTCAAAAAACTGCTGGGGAAAGGGATGAGTTCCCAGCAACTTGCTGGTGTATACAGCAGCAAATCTAATTTTTAAATCAACTACAAAGCCTCAAAATGTGCCATTTTAACTGCTATTAATTAGCCAAGTTATCTCACTTAGAACCAACTAGGGCTGCTCTACCTCAAGAGAAGATTCACCGCTTCCTTCACCGCCCCATCCTAGTTACATTGTAGGCTTTCCTCAAAAGAACCTCATCCTCCGCTTTCAAAAACAGTACGACAAAAAACTCCTACTCTTCAAAATTATTCAGTTAATTAAAGTCATTAGACCTCTAGCAACTGTGGCATTTGACTTTAACTCCCTACATTCTTGTGCCTTGAGAATAAAAAACAGTTTAGGTTAAGCCTCTCATTCCCTTTATTTATTTATTTTTATTTATGTACTTATTTTAAGACCGAGTGTCACTGTCACCCAGGCTGGAGTGCAGTGGCACAATCTCAGCTCACTGTAACCTTTGCCTCCGACATTCAAGCCATTCTCCTGCCTCAGCCTCCCGAGAAGCTGGAATTTCAGGCGTGTGCCACCACAACCCGCTAATTTTTGTATTCTTAGTAGAGACAGAGTTTCGCCATGTTGGCCAGGCTGGTCTTGAACTCCTGACCTCAGGTGATCCGCCTGCCTTGGCCTCCCAAAGTGCTGGGATTGCAGGCGTGAGCCACCGTGCCTGGCCCCATTCCCCCTACATATTTGCAGTGTGGTATCACTGGAAAAATCTCCTGGAATTTATCAGACCCTCAAATAAGACACATGTTATCCTCTCCCTGAAATTCTCCAGGCATCATTAAAAACTTACCACTTCTCAGTAACTCAGAAGAAGAGTGGGCATCATCTTTGACCTCCTTTGGTAGATATGCCACACTAAATGCTGGGCCTATAGAGGTGAGCAAGACAACAGTGGTCAGGAAAGGCCTCCTGGATGAGGTGAAAGCAGAGACTCTTAAGATAGAAGTTGGCTGGAATAAGTATCAGAGATGGGCAGGAAGATTGGCAGGGCTAGAGGAAGAAGGACTAGAGCAAAGAATCAGTATCAGAAAGCAAATTGCCAAAATATCTCACAAACGTCTTAATTCACATGCGTAGTGGATTGAGTGGTGGCCTTCCCAAAATATACGTCCACCTCCCAGAACTTGTAAACGTGATTTTATTTGGAAAAGTTTTTGGAGTTGTAATGAAGGATCTCAAGATGAGACGATCCTGGATTATCCAAGTTGACCCTAAATCCAATATCGCGGTGTCATTATAAGAGATACACAGAGAGAGGCCGGGCGCGGTGGCTCAAGCCTGTAATCCCAGCACTTTGGGAGGCCGAGACGGGCGGATCACGAGGTCAGGAGATCGAGATCATCCTGGCTAACATGGTGAAACCCCGTCTCTATTAAGAAATACAAAAAACTAGCCGGGCGAGGTGGCGGGCGCCTGTAGTCCCAGCTACTCGGGAGGCTGAGGCCGGAGAATGGCGTGAACCCGGGAGGCGGAGCTTGCAGTGAGCTGAGATCCGGTCACTGCACTCCAGCCTGGGTGACAGAGCGAGACTCTGTCTCAAAAAAAAAAAAAAAAAAAAAAGAGATACACAGAGAGACACAGAAGGAAGAGGGGAAGGTCATGTGAAGACAGAGGCAGAGACTGGAGTGATGCAGCCACAAGTCAAGGAATGCCTGCAGCTGCCTAAAGTTGGGAGAGGCAAGGAAGGACTCTTCCCTAGAGCTTTTGAGGGAGCACAGCTCTGTTGACACTTTGATTTTGGAACTTCTTGCCTCTGCAACTGTGAGAGGAAAATTTTCTGTTGTTTCTAGCCATGCAGGTTGTGGTACTTTATTATAGCAGCCCTAGGAAACCAATACAAGATGGAAAAAAGTTTAGTTTGAATGAGTAAAAATTCTCAGATTATTCTAAGAAAATACAGGTTCATTTCATCCTAATACATAAAATAAATCTCTAAGTGTTCTTGGGTGCTTGGAGAGATGAATAAACTAAATGTATTTATATTAGCAGCATCAATTTGTACATCGTGAGCTAAAACAATTAAAAACATTTTGTGTTCTTAAGTAGAAGCCCAAGTTATGGAATAAAAGCTAAAGAGATCTCAGAAGTCATCTGGTCTAGCCTGATCCCAGCCTGTGATCAAACCCTTTCTGGTAGCGGGGAGGTGGCTACCTTGCGTCAGCTAATTTTACATATAATGAGCCCAAATGTGCCTCAAGATAATTTTCACATGTTGAGCACAAACTCTGTCTTCTGAGTCAAAAACAAAACATTTAATCTGTCTTTCACACAACAGCCTATTAAGTTTTTTAACCATAATTTATTGATATTTTTTCTTATTAACATGTTATATATACATGCATATTTTTCTTTTTAAAATTTTCTATGATGCATTTTTTATATTTTCTAGATTTTCTGATGCATATATATGCTTATATATATGCATCACAGAAAGTATTTTTATGATTATGATATTTATTTATTTATTTATTTATTTATTCTGAGACAGAGTCTCGCTCTGTCACACAGGCTGGAGTGCAATGGCACGATCTCAGCTCACTGCAACCTCTGCCTCTCGGGTTCAAGCTATTCTTGTGCCTCAGCCTCTCGAGTAGCTAGGATTACAGGCGCTCGCCACCATGTCCAGCTAATTTTTGTATTTTAGTAGAGACGGGGTTTCATCATGTTGGCCAGGCTAGTTTCAAACTCCTGACCTCAGGTAATCCAGCCGCCTTGGCCTCCCAAAGTGCTGGGATTCAAGGCATGAGCCTCGTGCCAGGCCAATTTTTATTTTTTATATTTCTAGATTTACTATGATGCATATATATACGAATATATATATGTATAGATGATACACCATAGAAAATCTAAAATATATTAAAAAATAAATATCACCTGTTAACCCACCATTGAGAGACACACATTGTTAACATTTTGCTTTATTTCATCTCTAATATTTTATTTTTTCACCCATGTAATCATCCCTAGTTCCTTCAGTCACACCTCATTTAAAAGGGTTTCCAGACTTTCATCAACTTGATCATCATCTGTTTCATACATTCTAGTCTGACCTTCATAAAATGTGACAACCCAGAGTAAAGACGGTGTTGCAGGTCCAGTATGTCTAGGGCTGTGTGAGAAGAAACTTTTCCTTTGGTCTGGGGAATCACTGTAATGAAGTTGAATGATCAGAGCCTTCGTAAAATGACTAACCTCAATTCAAGTCCTGGTTCTAATGATTTATGGTCTCTGCATTTCAGGTTCTCAGTCTATAAAATTGGAAAATGAAGCTTTCCCTATTTTTGCTGGAAGGCGTAGAGGGATGTATGTAATGCGCTTGCTGCATGGTCGTGCAAATCAAAATAAATTACAGAAGTGGGTAATGTCTACTGGACTGGTGCTGTTTCATACTCTATAGGTACAATTGCTATCCCTGTTACAAACAAGGACACTGAGGCACAGAGAAGTTAGGTCGTCCATTCAAGATCACGTACTGGGAGGTGGCAGCACCCAAGCAGTCTAAAGTCAGAACCAGTATTCTTCACCACCACACCACAATGTCCAGCAACGATCATCATAACTATTATACTTCCTTCAGTGTATCCCAATGCGTTCAGTAAGTTTTTTGGAAGTCATATTACTTTGCGGATACATGAAAGTTTGCAACATATTAAAAAATTCTAACTGAAAGTAACCAGAATGTCTTTCAATGGGTTGAATAAGTAATGGAATTAGATAACAAATATTAGTACAACTATATAAAGGAATACTATACGGTAACAAGAAGGAATGAGCTATCAAGGGACCCTAAGACATGGAAGAATCTTAAATGTGTATTGCTAAGTGAAACAAGCCAGTCTGAAAAGGCTACATGCTATATGATTCCATTTATATGACATTCTGGAAAAGGGAAATCTATAGAGATAGTAAACAGATCAGCGGTTACCAAGAAATCAGAGGATGGGGAGACTGGAGTAGGCGAAGCACAGAGGATTTCTTCAAGGTAGGAAAACTATTCTGTATGATATTGTAATGGTAGATACATGAAACCATGCATTTATAAAAATCCACAGAACTTTACAGCATAAAGGATAAACCTTAATGTATGCAAATTTAAAAAATTATTTAGGAAGTTTGATGATCCCAGTATGGAGTGCAGGATGTGAAAAAAAATATATACTGTATTATAAATGTTTCATCCCCTAAAAGGGGAGAGGAAAAAGTTGCAGACAAGGGGAGAAGGTTAGAATGATCCATGTGGTACTGGATTCGATCAGTATGAACTCTTATATAGCTTAACATAGGTATATATGGTTACAAATAGAAATATTTATGGATATGTGTCTATACAGTGATTAGTATACACAGATGTATCTCTTTGCTTTTAATTACCCAGGTTCAAAGAATCCTTTATAGTTTATTTGCATTGCTATAAAGGATTCCTTGAACCTGGGTAGTTAAAAGAAAAGTCATTTATTTGGCTCACAGTTCTGCAGGCTGTACAAAAAAACATGGCAAGAACATCTCCTCTTTTTTTTTTAAGTTTTAAAAATATTTAAATAGTAGAGATAGGATCTTGCTATGTTGCCCAGGCTGGTCTCGATCCCCCTGCCTCTGCCTCTCAAAGTGCTGGGATTATAGGCATGAACCACTGTACCCAGCCAAGCACCTGCTTCTGGTAAGGGCTTCAGGGAGCTGCAAATCATGGCAAAAGGAGAAAGGGGAGCAAGTATGCCACGTAGCGAGGGAGGAGGAGGCAAGAGAGAGGGGAGAAGGTACCAGGCCGTTTTTAACAATCCCATCTTGAGGTAACTAATAGACCTGGAACTCACTCATTACCAGGAGGATGGCACCAAGAAGTTCATGAGGGATCCGCCACATGATCCAAACACCTTCTCCAAGGCTCTGCTTCCAACATTGAGGATCAAGTTTCCACAAGAGATTTAGAGGGGATGAATATCTAAACTATATCAGAGGCTGGGCGCGGTGGCTCACGCCTATAATCACAGCACTTTGGGTGGCCGAGGCGGGTGGATCACCTTAGGTCAGGAGTTTGAGACCAGCCTGGCTAACATGGCAAAAACCCGTCTCTACTAAAAATACAAAAATTAGCTGAGCGTCGTGGTGGGCGCCAGTAATCCCAGCTACTCGGAGGCTGAGGCAGGAGAATCGCTTGAACCCGGGAGGCGGAGGTTGCAGTGAGCCGAGATTGCGCCATTGCACTGCAGCCTGGGTGGCAAAGCAAGACTCCACCTCAAAAAATAAATAAATAAAATTAAAAACTATATCAGAGATTGGGGGTGAGGGAGTAACTTACAGAGGAGGAGCCTGATAAACACTACTTCAGCCCCATGATCAAGGACAACGGCGAGAAATCAGTTGATAGTAAGCACCTGTTACAGACTGAATTGTGTCCCCCTCCTGCCCAAATTCACATGTTGAAACCCTAACTCCCAGTACCCAAGAATGGGACTGTATTTGGAGACAGGGCCTTTCAGTAGGTAATAAGTTAAAGTGAGGCTGTTACGGTCTCTATTCAAGCTGTCTGGTGTTCTTAAAAAAAGAGGAGATTAGGACACAGGGAGAGAGACCCCAGGAAGGTGGATGCATGAAGAAAGAGCCATGTGAGGACACAATGAGAAGGCAGCCATCTGCGCGACAAGGAGAGAGACCTCAGAATAAACCGATCCTGCAGATTTTAGATTTCCAGGCTTCACAGCTGTGAGAGAACCAATTTCTGTTGTTTAAGACACGCAGTCTGTGGTATTTTGCTGTGGCAGCCCTCACTGACTAACACCAGCACTCTTGATAGAATGTGATGGAAATGGCACTTTACCTGTGGGGTTTTCCTCCAAACTCATAACTTCATCAGATAAATCCCAAGTGAAGGGCTTTCTACAAAACACCTGACCCATAGTCTTCAAAATATTCAAGGCCACTAAAAACAAGGATGCTCTGAGAAACTGTCACAGCCAAGAGGAGCCAGAGGAGACACTATGACTAAAGGTAATGTGGTGTCCTGAATGAGATCCTGAAACAGAAAAGCAACATTAAGTAAGAACTAAAAAATTCTGAGAAAAGTATTGACTTTAGTCAATAATAATGTATCAGTATTGGTCTCTTTTCTTTTCTTTTCTTTTTTTGAGACAGTCTCACTCGGCTGCTCAGGCTGGAGTGCAGTGGCATGATCTCGGCTCACTGCAACCTCCCAGGTTCAAGCAATTCTCCTGCCTCAGCCTCCCAAGTATCTGGGATTACAGATGTCCACCACCACACCCAGCTAATTTTTGTATTTTTTGTAGAGATAAGGTTTCATCATGTTGGCCAGGCTGGTCTCGAACTCCTAACCTCAGATGATCCACCTGCCTCGGTCTCCCAAAGTGCTGGGATTACAGGTGTGAGCCACTGAGCCTGGCCAAGTATCGGTTTCTTAATTGTAACAGATGTACTTAATTATTGTAAGGAGTTAATAATAGGGAAAACTAGTATGAGATAGATGGAAACTCTTTACTATCCTCACAATTTTTTCCCAGGATGGAGTGCAGAATTTTTTCTTGGCTCTCTGCAGCCTCAACCTCCCTGGCTCAAGTGATCCTCCCACTTCAGTCTCCCCAAGTATCTAGGACTACAGTCATGCTCCACCATACCCAGCTAATTTTTTTTGTATTTTTTGTAGAGACAGGGTTTCACCATGTTGCCCAGGCTAGTAAAACTATTCTAAAATAAAAAAAAAATTGTTTTTAAAAAATCTTTTTGTTTTTCAGATCGATTACCACTAAATTCTATTTAGATATTCAACAATGTTTTCAATATAGTAACAATGTAATTGCTGCTCAGGGCAGAGCCAAGTAGGGTATTACGGCGATAATTTCCTTCCTATACAGCTTTTAGTTCTTCCAGTAGTTTCTATTTCTTTTTTCTTCTTGTAACCTCTTACAATAATTTTTCATTTATCTTTCCAAAAGTTCCATCATATCCAGCATTTTATTTGTCTCATCTTCTTTTTGGGGAAACCTTGCCTCTCAGAGCCTCTGTGGCCAGCAAAGGCCATTTGGTGAAAGGCTAATTTAATGTGGTTCAGGCATATGGTCTTCTGGTGGCCTAATCTGATTTAAGGAGAGAGTTTAGGGTAACTGGACAAGTGAGTAAATGACATATACACTAAATGTTCTTTCCCACTTTACTTATGTAGCATTTGATGGTGAAGTTGATATAATTCCAGTTCACAGCAAAGATATTTGATATTTCAGTTAGTCCCAATAGCATTGATACTTTTAAGAACCTTCTGGGATTCAAGGACTCAAGGTGGAGGCTGACTACTCTCAGCAGCCAGTAATTAAAAAAAAAAATCAATGGTGCTGAGTTACAGCCAATTAACCAAAACAAAACCACCTAATGATATCATCACCCAGTCCACATTTCTCCATTTGATGGACAAAGAGTCTCTGATAGATTTTGCCAAAGTCATAAACTTCAGATAACAATAACTCTTAATATTCTTATCCTTCTAACATTCCTAAACAACAACAACAAAGAAGTTTTGAGGACAACGAAAATTTTTCGGCACAGAATAGTACCTGTTTTGCACAGAATAATATATGCTTAAATGTCCTCATAAATGCCACCATATCTTTTCAACTTCCTATAAGCAGTACCTACCACAGAGTAAGTGATCGGTATTTAATTGAAGTTCTTTGACTTATCTAGCATCTGAATGTGAAGGTCAGTTTTACATTCATTTAAACTTTTGTTTTCTCCCACATCAAAATATTTGTTTTGGCTCTATCAACAGAGATTTCCCAGAAAAAATTTTCCTTTCTGGCTGTTAGTAAGTTAGTTCACTTCCTGTCTCTGAGTCTGTGGAAACAATTCAGAAAAGATCAACTATAATTCCTATTTTCCAGCTTGTTTTTCATTTCCTTGCACTTCAAATCCTGTTTTTGTGTGTTAGCCTCTCACATAAGTACCTGATTGATAAATACTTACTGATTTGATTTAATTTAGAAAAACACTTTATGATCTACACAATTTAGTTTAATTGGCAAAATTTGCCTCTGATAGTCATACCCTGTCTCTCAATGTTTATGACAATTCAGAAAGTACTACATGACCCCGTGTGCAAATGAGTCACTGTATCTCCCCCACAATGGCACACAGATTAACATCGAAGTGGCAGGAAATGAAGAACCGAATCCACCTCGAAACCACCAAATTCCCAGCTCGTTTAGCCTTCTTGGTAACTACAGCATCATTATTTTCCATTTTTCCATTTACTTTCAAATACATCCAAACTCATGTTATCTGATTCTGACCCTCGTCAGAACATATATATATATAAAACACCATTAAAAGCCATAAGGATGAGTTTACCATTAAATATTTGAGTAAAAGCAAAGAGGTTAAAGGAGGTTTCTTGGCACTTGTCAGGGCAGAACAGTGGCTTCTTTGTTCTTTCAGATTCTCTGTGGTTTGGCCTTTGCCTCTTCTTGGATAACATGTTGCTCTTCGACATGCTGGGCTTCAGCCAGGTCTGGTCCTCAATCCTCGCCATAAGTTATCCCTTTCAGCCAGCCCCAGTCTAGTGGTGAACACAGTGACTCCCTGTCCTCAGCAGTTAGCTTTCCAGAAAGTTGCCTGCCCACTTTGTGAATCTAACACCTGATATAAAATTTCTAATTACAAACATCAAATTCTTTCTCCTAGGAGTTCTGAAACTGCATGCTCTGCTCTTTGTTTCGACCTTTTATTTTCATTGGAAAGCCCTTGCCAAACGTTAGCCACATTTCACTCCTTCTGATCCAGGTTTTTATCTCTTCTCAACCAGAAAAATGCATAATGCTTCATTTGCAGGATAACCAGGCAATCCATTTCCAAGATCTGCTGTATACAACGCTCCAGCCTGGGCAGTATGCTGTGCAAAGTGCCCCAGAGGTATTTCTCAGATTCTGGCAGGACCACTTTGTTGACATTCCTCAACAAAGGCCTTACAATTTCAAAGGGAGTTTAGAGAATTTGAGTTTAGAAGTGTCAGTGTGAGTGGTTCTTCTCTAAGTCCTTAGACACCAAACCCACAGAGCCCTTAAGGCTGGATTTAGATGTGAAGTGGTGGAATTATGGAACACAAACATCATGTGGCAAGTGACCATCTGACAGATGCATATTTAAATCTGTTTGCAAAAATGTCCCCTGTTGGCTTGTTGGCATCCTAAGGTGTTGGTTAATAGACTTTACAACCCCAGCAATAGTGAAGAGCCTGGCCCACGTCTATCACCAAGGAAAACGAGGTAGGGAGAAGTCCAGGGATTACAAAACTCTAATAAATCCTCTTTCTTATTCCACATAATACTTAGTATACTCACAGTTTCTATTTGGCTTACACCCCCGCAGAAACCTCGGTGAGTTCAGGGTGGCCCCAGGAAACAGGGAGAAAGGAAGACTGCAGGGACTGGCTGTCAGTCAATGTTGATGTCAGAGATTGAGGGAAGGGGGAGGGAGAATCAGGGATCCTGGAGGAGTCTGCAGGGAAGATCAGACTATGCAGCAGCCTCTATCAGAACAGTTGGCGTACACTTGGCTGAACTGTCTCCTTTTTGCATTTTTCTTGGGGAACTGAATATAATGGCAGAAAACTGAAGAGAGTTCAGATAGAAATCTCGTGCTCAATTCTGAGCGCAAGACTTTCTGTTCATTTATTCATTCTTTCATTCTGCATATTTATTGAACAACTGTTTCTAAGAACTGTTTTAAATTCTGCTAATACAGGAGGACCAGTCAAACAATTCCCTGCCCTCCTAAGGCCTACTTTCTAATAGAGGTGGGGCAGAGTGTTAACAAGTAAATATATCAGATAATTTAATTTATGGTAAGTGTTATGAAGAGGTGGGAACCACATTACATAGGGGGGCCAGAGAAGGCCTCTTTGAGGAGGGTGATGCTATGGATGGGGCTGAGTGCAGTGGTTCACGCCTGTATTCCCAGCTCTTTGGGAGGCCAAGATGGGTGGATCACCTGAGGTCAGGAGTTTAAGACCAGCCTGGCCAACACGGTGAAACCTCATCTCTACTAAAAATACAAAAATATTAGCTGGGCATGGTGGCATGCACCTGTAGTCGCAGCTACTTGGGAGGCTGAGGTAGGAGAATCACTTGAACCCAGGAGATGGAGGTTGCAGTGAGCCGAGATAGCACCACTGCACTCCAGCCTGTGCAACAGAGTGAGACTCTGTCTCAAAAAAAAAAAAAACAAAAAAAACCCTGAGAGATGAAAAGGAGAACATAACTGTGTGACCACTGAGGGAAGGGGAAGAGGTCCAGGTAGAGCGAACAGCAAGTACGAAGGCCTCGAGTCAGGGAGGATGGGGGTGGGGGTGTTTGAGGAAATGAGTCTGAATTAGGTTTCTGTCTGCTAATGCAGGAACCCAAGCCTTTAAAACCACCTCAGTCTAATGTCCTCACACGTATTTATTAATATAATGTGGTTAGTGAAAAGACAGGTGAGCACAGTTTCTATGAGTTTACAAAGAGCATTTAGATCAACCTGGAGGTTCAAAGTATGACACTGAAACTCAGATATAAAGGATGAGTCATAGTTATGCAGGGGATTTCAGTAAGTGCAAAATGTTAGGTGTACAGTAGGCCCGCTTTATCCATGAGGGATATGTTCCAAGACCCCTAGTAGATGCCTGATAGTACCAAACCCTCTATAGACAATGTTTTTTTTGATCTGATAGCCAAGATGTCTACCAAGTGACTCACGGGTGGGTAGTGTATACAGCATGGATTCCCTGGACAAAGGGAAGATTCACATCCCAGGCAGGATGGAGTAGGAAGGTGCAAGATTTCATTATGATACTCAAAATGCATGCAATTCAAGTTTACATATTGTTTATTTCTGGAATTTTCTGTTTAATGTGTTCGGACTTCAACTGACTGCTGGTAACTGAAACTGTGGAAAGTAAAACTGTCTAAAAGAGGACTACTGTATTTGGGAGGAGTCGGAGTACCAGAAAAAGTGAGAGGTAGGAAATAGCAGAATAAAAGTCTGGAAAGTTAAAAAGAAGCCATGAGGCTGGGCATGGTGGCTCATGCCTATAGTTCCAGCCCTTTGGGAAGCTGAAGCAGGAGGATCGCTTGAGGCCAGGAATTTGAGACCAGCGTGGGCAACATAGCAAGACCTCATATCTACAAGAAACTAGAAAGAAAGAAAGAAAGAGAAAGAAAGAAAGAAAGAAAGAAAGAAAGAAAGAAAGAAAGAAAGAAAGAAAGGCAGGCAGGCAGGCAGGCAAGCCATGTCATGAACGGCATTTTTTATTTCCAAGATCAAAACTTTAGACTTGGTTTTATAAGTCATTGAAAGATTTTTAAGCAAGGGAGTGACAGAACCACATAGTGACTAGGTTAAAGGGGAATGAGGAAAGACAAGAGGAAGGAAATCAGTGGACACGTTACAACAATCCAAGAAAGTAACAACGTGGGTCTGGCTCAAACAGTGGGGAATAAAAAGGAATAGACAATTTGAGAAATATTTAGTAGATGAAATAAGAATTGGCTGATTGAATTAGGGAGTGTGTTTGAGGCGGTGGGGGAAGAGTTAAATGGTTAGATTAGATCATGGAGACTGGAGGCAGTGTCACTAATTTAGGTGAATAATATAAAAGAAGGAATAGGTTTTGAGGGAAATGGAGAATTCAGCTTTGGACTCGTGGCCCTTGAAGAACATAGCCTGTAGTCCAGTTTATAGAGATAAAGAAAACTGCAAATTGCTATTACCAGCATGACTCCCCCTTTTTTGCAGAAGAAATTCGTAGGCAAGGCCATGAAAGGTGAGAGTTTCAGGGTTCCTTTTGTTTAGTGCCTGATAGAGACCAGGTGCTCCTGGTGGGAGCAGCCAGTCGAAAGTACTTAATAGGGAATCTATGAGGCCAGGAGTTCAAGACCAGCCTGGGCAACATAGCAAAACCCAGTCTCTACAAAAAAAAAAAAAAAGAAAAAAAAAATTTGTTTTAATTAGCAAGGGGTGGTGGAACATGCCTGTAATCCTAGCTACTCAGGAGGCTGAAGCAGGAGAATTGCTCGAGCCCAGGAGTTTGAAGCTGCCATGAGCTATGATTGCACCACTACACTTTAGCCTGGGTGACAGAGTGAGACTCTGTCTCTTTTTCTTTTTTTTTTTGAGATGGAGTCTCGCTCTTGTTGTTTCTTTCTTTTTTTTTTTTTTTTTTTTTTTGGGGGGGCTCCCCCTTTTTTTTTTTTTTTTTTTTTTTTTTTTTCAGATGGAGCCTCGCTCTTGTTGCCCAGGCTGGAGTGCAGTGGCACCATCTCAGCTCACTGCAACCTCCGCCTCCCAGGTTCAATGAAGGAGTACTTAATAGGACTTTACACTACCCACCTCTTACACCTAGGATTTGCCTGGGAATAATTAAGAAACATGTTTCTTAACATATACACATGTTTAGGTGTATGCTTATGATGAGGGCAACAAATGTCCAATCAAGCTGGGAAGATAAAGCTAAGCTCTATACAACAAATGTCCACTAATGCAATAGTAATTCCAAACAAAGAGATAGGACTGTGGGTGGCACAAGAATTGGAGATTTGATTTAAAAGGTCAAGTTGTTGGGAGGCGGAGCCATCTTTCAGGTGCTGGGAGCGTTTCCAAACAATGGCTTACAGCCAGGAATAAGCTTCACGTGTTGGGGGCAGTGGGTGTGAATCAGGACCCAGGGGCACACTGGGTGGGTGGAGGGACTTGAGTGGGACGCAGGGTGGGGCTGCAACCTGGAAAGGAGTCTAAACTCAGCAAGACAGACAAAAGGGTGATGTGGCAAAGATTATGTCAGTAAGATAGTTACTTCCTGGGCTCTTACATAAATTAAAGTCATTAAAATTAATTTTATTCCGTGATTTTTTTTTTTTTACACTCCTAGTGAAAAAGATGATTCCTGGCAAATTTTCCCAAGAGTGTCTCTATACTTCCTTGGATAATTGATATCCAAGGCAGATGAGATTCAGGAGAGACTGTTATCCAACACAGACAAAAAGAGTCTTGCCTTTTGCTTTCACATGTGAGGATTAAAGGACTTCGATTATTTGAGGGGGCTTAGTAAGTGTTGATTGCAATTACTTAGAAAATCCTTTCAGTGTCAAATGATGATGCAGCGTAAGCTTCTTGAAGAGTGAATTTAACTTTTACTGCTCTAAAGTCAGGTAATACAGAGGACATGAACAAAGAAACAGACCTGCTTTGGCCACTGAGGGGTCTCAAGTAAACGGCATGACCTCTTTCACCTGCAGTTTTTTAGTCTGTAAAATAGGGATTGTAATTTTTTCATTCATTCAACAAATATTTTATGAGCATCTCCTGGTACATCTCCTATGTGACAGGTACTGTTCTACCCAGTTCATAAAGTTATTTTGAGAATTACATGAGATAGCGTAAGTGAAAATGTTTAGCATAGTTTCTAGACTCTGTCAGATGCTGATTGTATTAGTTTTCTATCCAAGAAGTTTTTTCAACTGGAAAAAGATGGATGTTGAATGTTGGAGCCATTATTGGGTCAGGTCGACAATGGCCAAGACACTCAGAGTGTTTGTTGTAAATATCAGGGTGTCTTGCACAGGGGAAGAATTGACTAAATTGGGGATCCAAGAATGGAAAGACTTTTAATTTAATGACTTTTTTTTTTTTTTTTGAAACGGAGTTTCACTCTTGTCACCCAGGTTGGAGTGCAATGGCACAGTCTCTGCTCACTGCAACCTCCGCCTCTTGGGTTCAAGTGATTCTCCGGCCTCAGCCTCCCGCATAGCCAGGATCACAGGTGCCCACCACCATGCCCAGCTAATTTTTTTTGTATTTTTAGTAGAGATGGGGGTTTCACCACATTGGCCAGGCTGGTCTCAAACTTTTGACCTCAGGTGATCTGCCCGCCTCGGCCTCCCAAAGTGCTGGGATTACAGGTTTGAGCCACTGCGCCCAGCCCAATGACATGTTTTTGAGATAGTAGGATGAATGGCAAAATGTTGACCTGGGGAAAGTAGAACAAGTGTCCGTCAAAATTATTCTGGGAAGTCTGCAGAGGTTGCCACGAAGCAGCAGGGGTGATCCAAGTTAAGACTCATCAGAAACATGAAAGTCCCACTGGGTCTAGAACATAAAGAAAGAACTCCGAGATAGTTTGCTTCATCAACATGTTCAGAGTCGAGGTGCGTGACAAAATAATTGAAGCACTTTTAACTGTGAACATTGCAACATACCCACTGAACCCTGGAAAGTTAATTTGTAGTTCGAAGAATTGACCGGATAAGGACCCTGATACTTCGGATATTAACATTGACCAGTGCTCTAAGTAGTTTCATTTTAAAAAGGAAGGGAAGAAAAGCTGACTTAAGCTACAAAACATGTTTTTTC